TTCAATTTTCCATCTTCCTACCCCCTTACCTCTGTCTTACACACTCTATTCACTGAGCTGAGTAAGAGAACCAAAGTTATTAGCTACTTTTCTCTGAGCCATTTTGCCTGATCCGAGGTATCTACCTAATTGCATCTTCACTCTAAATTCTCTGAAGCCATTCAGAGTCTTAAATGACAGTGTGGGAGGCCGTGTCCTTGTTCTGAACTTTGCTTCATATCTTCATCACTCACTCCCTTCGTCGGGTACAAGTGAGTTGGAAATCAGTTGCTTTTTCGAATCCCGTAAGTTCACAAATGTCTCAACCCTCCTTCTCTTCCATTGCAACTGCAGAACTGACAGAGCTCATTTTGTGCCACGTAATACCTTGTCAGAGGTTGTCAACAGCAACCAGCACGTGCCATTAGCATTGTGTTTAGCAGCTACGGGTTCACTGGTTACGTCATCTTCCTCCCAAGTTGCAGAAAACAGTGATTCATCTCTATCCAACAGGGATCAACACTTGGCCAGCCTCTGAAAGCAAGGACTCTGCTGCCTGCTGCCGAAGGCTGAAAGCATAGTCACAGACTTTGGAGGTTTGTTGTTCTTGTTACAATAGCGCCTCATTTCTGGAACCTATGTGTGTTCCAGCTGGGAGAGAATAGATAATGCTCCATCCAGGAGCAGCCCCCAAATCTCAGCCGTGTATTCCTTGCCGTATCATGCATTGGCAGGAGACTCAGCTCACTGTGGTCACTCAGATGCTCAGAGTGACACAGGTTCCGTGTCAACAGCTGCTTCCACAGCCAGGAACAGAATCACCAAATGGAAGGTGACCAGCTGAGGGCTGTTCCCTAGAGTGAGACACCAACTTCACTGGCAACTCCTTGTCAAAGCAATGGACAAGATCACATGTCACTCACAGAGGCAGGGAAGTGCAGGCCACATGTGCCAGATGGACAACCGGGTATACTGGGGGACCACTGCCTCAACTGGAGCTGTTCCCTTCTCCTTGCCCCTACATTGCCATCTCCTTCACATTATTCAGTCCGCAAAGACACAGCAAAGGACTCCTGTTGATGAGCATGGCTGTGTCACTTCTGGTTCAGTCTTGTCACTCTGTCTGTTTCCTCAGTTTCTCTATCAGGTGCACAGGGAAACTGCTATTTCCCTCAAGAGTAATCATGAAGATCGAGAAGGCAACATGTGTGAGTCACTTCATGTGGTGCCTGGAGGTACTAAGTGGTCCAAAGATGTAGCATTTATCATCGTTGCTACTTTTGGCTGTGCTAAGCATCGGGATACATTAGTCTTCAGGATTTCTAGTGTAATAGACCTTCCAGCCTAACAGAGGGAACACTTTATGTTCCCATTCTTTTAACTCTTTCTCTTGAATGTAGGCTCTCCCCAATGGCCTTTCTATCTTCCTCCCAGGAACTCGCAAAGCCCTACGTTAACACTTGGCAAAGTCATCAGACTTCCTGGTACACTCTTCTGTGTCACGTCCCTGATACAGAGAGAGGTGCAAACACTGCATGACATAACATCTGTGAAGCAGCTGGCACAGGTCAGCTGGCACCCAGCTGGTGCTGCACCAACACCGGCTCCCCCATCCCAGCCCTGTTTGCCTCAGGTGCTGTGAGCAGGAACTTCAGGCGGCACCTTCAGCTGCAGCCACTGGCTGGAATTCCCAGCTGACACTGGCCCCGCCGTGTCCATGCCTCTTGCAGACTTAGCCTCCCTGTGCTTTTGAATCCGTGGTTCTCTGAAAGCCTTTCAGTTCCTTCTCCACCTGCTGAGTGTTGCCAGCCCACCTGGGGGCCGGGAGCTCAGTCTGGCAGGTACATATTAGCGTGTTAAAAATATCTACACAGCATCCTTAGCATTGTAATCCACTTTGAACATTAGCATATTTCCTTCAGTTCATCTGGGGAATCCCTGTTCTTTATCATTTTGTAGGGAGGAGAGGGCTGACTAGCAGAGACCAGCCTTAACAACTGCATTAACTACTCAATGCTCTGTACAACTTAGGTGTGAACACACACGACCCAGTGAGGAGCACATATATCGGATCATCTATCCTGATAACTAGTAATGTCATAGTATTCTTCCAAGCCTATTTTTTTCAAGGTAAGCAGCTGTAGATGCAGGAGTTTTCAGTCTGTCTCATCTGATTCTCTCAGTAGATTCAAAAGGAATTTAGAGTTGACTTTGACCAAGACTTTACAGAGGCACCAAAGAGTTTCTTGTTGCTGTGAGCTTCATGAGATAGAACCCAGCTCAGTCCTGGGCCCGAAACTGTAGCTTTCTTCTTTCCGTGCCAGTTTGCTTCCTCCTACTGACTCATAGCACAGTGGGGACTTTTTCCTGAACAGCCTGGGGACTGTCTATGCCATCTGGACATTGTTTTTGACTTCCAGCTCAGAATCTTCTTTTAGTTCTCCAGGCCATGTCTGTTCCCCAGAAAAAAAGGAGAGTTGACTGCTCTTGGCATAGATCTAGGTTTCCAGCTGGATGGAAGTAGCCAGCACCTGGGCAGCATCAGCTCCATGTCACATCTCAAGAGAGGGGGACACTGCTGAATTCTAGGCACCCGAGAAGAACTGGCTCCTCCTAGAGCTGTGTCTGCTGAGCCTGGGATTAAAAGTCCAAGCGAGGACCACTTACTCTTGTTTCTGGCCTTCCCACCCAGTGAAGAATACTTGTGTTGGAGTTTTAGGTGGAGAAAAGTTAGAGATGACCATAACTGACTTTGTCAATCACCTTTCTGTTGCTATGACAAAACCCTTGAGCTAAATAAAGAGGAAAAGGTTATTTTGGCTTATGGTTTTCGAGGTAAAGTCCATGGTCAGCTGCTCCACTGCTTTTCGGTAATGAGTAAAAAGATCTTGGTTAGGACTTTGAAAGCTGCTAGCCTCATGGTAGCCTGGAAGCAAAAAGACAAAAAGGAGGAGCCAGTGTCCCAATATCCCCTCCAAGGTCATGGGTCCAGTGACCTCACTTCCTTTCATCAGGCCCCACCTCCTAAAGCTGCCACCACCTCACAACAGCACCATAGGCTGGGACTAAGCTTTCAGCACATGGCCTTGGGGGACACTTAAGATCCAAATTATAACATTGGCCATGTTCATCCAGCCTGAAACCACATTTCTTCATTGGAAGGATCCACTCCACATGCAGGCTCCAGCCAGCCAATAAAAGCCATCGGGGGACACCTCCACCCAACTCTGTATTCAAGTTCATCACCCTCGTAACTTGACATTGCTTGCAATGGTGACATAGCTCGTCCCACACAAACTGTGAGAGTGAGCTTATTTCTCGCAAAGCCAAAGAATGAAACTGTGGACGGAGGGGGAAGGTTAGCAGAGTGTTTATTGGAAAGGAGAAGAGAATTCGCTCCTGTTCTCCAGAACTGTCACATGGCGTCTCGGTCTAGAACTTTTTCTGGCAAAGCGGAGCAGGGGAATTGGTCTATAAATCCACAGGTGGCTCTGTGGGTTTAAAGTGACCACTTGGAACTCAGCCTCTCTGAACCAGTTACCCAGAATAGAGCTTAAAGGAAACCAGGATTTTAAAGAAAAAACAGTTATTCTGCATTTAACTTCTTTAAAACTCAAGGACATAGTAAGCAGGGGCTCAGCTCCCATAGCAGGAAGGGGCTGCCTTCCCTGTCACCAGAGGAAGCCAGTCCTGGGTCCAGCGCCCCAGGCCGCTGCCCATTCTTGTTTTAACTCTTTCAGTGTAGCCCGTCTCAGGCCCCTGCTCACACGTGGACTGCCTAAACTGGCTTTTGCAGCAGAGATGTTCACTCTGTGGAAATCTACATGTCCTACCAGACTGAGGTTTTTCTCCCCAACAGTCTGTTTTCAAACACTGGCCAGCACACCACTGGGCATTATCTCCCCGGAGCCTTTCTTCAGAGAGGAGATGAAAGAACTATTTTAGAAGCAAAACTGGAAGGAACCTTAGGGATCACCACAACCCTGTTATATTATAGGTAGGAAGTGGAGGCCCCGAAACCAGCAGGGCTTTGCCAAACCATCCCAAAACTCTGGGGCCTAGGTCTTCTCGCTCTCAACCAAAAGCCCTTCCCAGAGGGATCACAGCTTCGAGCTGCAAGGCTCCCTGTGGGGGGGGACTGTGCGTGGATGATGATTGCCACAAGCAAAGAAAACAATTTCGTGTAATTATTTACAAATTTCAAAATTACCTCGTATACATTACCTCACACTTCAAATACCTGATTTGTTCCAAAAAGGGGAAAAAATTAATGCAGGATGGAAATATTAAGGGATGGCCCCATGAAAAGGACGGGATTCCCACCTGGAATTTGAATAATCCGAGGCAGCAGTTGGTAGAGAAGAAATGTGAGTGTAAAGACAGCAACCAAGGGCCCAGAGATTTAGCTCAGTGGCATAAACACCTGCCTGGCAAGCACAAGGTTGTGAGTTTGATCCCCAGTATCCAAAAAAAAAAAAATGGAAACCATCTTTGGGTAGTCAGTGAGACCTTCATCAGCAAAAAGCTTACCTATCCAGAGAACTCGTGTCATTTCAATCCAGAGTCAGGGCAGGAAGGCATGTGTCATTTAGCATGGTGCAAAGGGAAATAGCCCATTATTTTTTCTCATTGAGATGAAATTATTATACTCTATATTAGTCACATGAGTACATACATATAGAGGATGTTTCTAAACATCTCAGCAGCCATTCTTTCTGTGGGATGATTTTATAGACGATTGTTGCTTTATTTCCTTTTTTTCTTCTTTTTTATTTGCTATTCTTATTATTAGAATGTATCCAGTTAAACCTCCTCCAAAAGAATCTCCAAAAATAACAATGACTAACACGTAGACGTGTGCTGCGTATGGAAGGCACAGCCAGCAACAGATGAAGGGATGAATAGAATGTAGTATTTACACACGATGGAGTACTACTCTGCCATGAAGAAGGATAAGTGTGAGTCATTTGTAGGCAATGGAGGCACCTTGAGATGATGTTGTTAAGTAAAATCAGTCAGACACACAAGCTCACATATCACATGTTTCTCTCATGTGGAGATCCAAAGTATAAAGAGCAAACTAAAAGACAGATAATAGGAAGCAGGTGGATAGAGCTTCCTCAAATAGAAATGGGACCAAGAGATTCAGGGAGGAGGAGGTGCTAACGGGACAGGGGTGAAAAAGAATTAGGGTGTGTTCCGTACTGGTACCAGCCCGCACAGGGACTTAGACATTACGGCCTGCAGACTCGTACAATTCAAAAAAATTTAATACAAACTGTAATAGCACTTGTGTCACCAGAAATAGTACTCCAGTAAACTAACAACAGAAAAGGAGACATAGGGTGCTAATAGGCTTTCCAGAGTCACAGAGCTATGAGCGTCACGGCCAGGGTTTGAACCCCAGCCTGCACCACTGACCCTTTTGCTGTACCGCCTCCGGCCACGAGAGAAAAAAAACGCTGAACACAGAGTCTGAAACTAAGAGCCGCAGCAATCCAGGGAGGAAATGAAATCCAGGGACAGACACGAGAAAGAGTCACTGTGCCACGTGACGCAGATCACGAGGACACCAAAAGTCAAAAGCCACCCGCGTCAGGTCAGGACTCGGTTGCTGCCACCACCAGTGTCACATCAGTGGTTCTTGGTGTGCAGTGCTGATAAACGGTACCGCTCAGCCCCTCTTCTGCCCGTCTCTGTCTCTGTTAGGAGTAATGGGAAGAGGTTCTTTTGATCGTTATAGGAAAAATACAAAAATTCCAGCAGTGCCTACAAATATTTCGGTATTTAAAACCTTCCTCCCTCCCCGGCCCTCCCTACCGGGACACCCGGAGGAATCCTGCCTTCTTCTGTACTCTTGTTCTGTGCACGTAGCATGCACGTGCAGTACACGCGTCTAAGCTCCTGCGTCTACTGTGCTACCAGGTGTTCACCCTTCAGATTGTGCCTTAAACTGCTTTTCTACTTGTGCACCCTCACTCACTCTAGCCCTAACCTGCTTAATACTGGTTAGCATCCCTCCGTGACCGTATACCACAATTTGTGCCACGCATTCCCTCTTTGAATAGGGAATATTTTGTGCTGAGTTATGGGAGGCAAAAAGGCCTAATTACAAGAAAAAGAAATATTCACAACATATCAAAATGATCATAGGTTTATAACCCTGAAACAAGCGTCAGGAATAAGCTAAGCGTTTAAATGAAACTTCAACGAACATGGTAACTTAGGACCTCAGAGCACCTGGTCACTCAAAGAAGACAAAAATGAAATAAAAAGCATGATATAAAGTGAAATATATTCTCAATCACACAAGTCAGAAAGTGTAACCATAAAACCCACATTTTCAGAGACTGCATCACTCTGGGGCTGAATAGAAACTGTCTCCCATTGGAGAACCATCAAGACCGTGATAAAAATAGCTCAACTTTTTTGGTTTTGTTTTTTAGCTTAGCAGCCATGGTGATAGTCCGTCAATGGCTAAAAATTTCCAGCGTCTTCTTTTCATTTTTGAATAATTTGAGCTTGAGCTATTTAGAAGATAAATTATGATTCTCCTTTTTATTTTTTCTCTCCTTGTCTGTCTTGGGAAAAGTAATCATTCTCAGGTAGAGAAAATTCCTAGTATTAGTGGAACAGACGAGGGACCCTGGGTGAAACAAAGGTGAGGTGTTTTGTTTGGGTTTGGATTTGTTTTGCTTTCCAGAATAGGTAAGTCCATTAAATCACACAGCCTGGCCGCCCCACCTTTCCTGAGTTTATTTAAGTGGTTGCCCATAGCAACCACCCACACGCCAAGTACTGTAGCTGAGCTGAGGATCGTGGAAACAGCTTGCAAGTTTCTGTCTTGCTTCCCTGATTTTTTTTGCTGTACCCTGAAGGTAACTACATAAAATTTAAATATATTGACAATGTCTCAGGGGAGCTCAGGGGGTCTCCTTTATTTTTTTTTTAACACAAGCACTACTTTTTAAATGATATAAAATATGGAAACAAACCTGGTTCATTAGCCTCCACAGGCTGCCATGGAAGCTGTTCAGGAGGGAGAGGAAGGGCCAGGTGCTGGGCAGCCTTCCTCTGTCCCCTTCTGTCCTTCTTGGTGACGTCCGTGCCTCAGGCACTCCTGGGCTGTCAGGCCCTGGCCACACGCACGGGAAGAGCACAACTGGGTTCCATTCTGGCCTCGTCACCCGTCACCCTCTGCCACGCTGCCCTTCCCTCCTGCTGGTGTGTGTTCCTTTTTACAATGACCCCAGTTACCTATCACTGAATAAGGGAAAATGAAGTGAGCTGACCATCAGGAAGCCTCTAACCTGGAACGATTTGTGCACCAGGGATGGCGTCACTATCTTCATACATTAGGAACACATTTTACTTTGAAATAAACAGCCAACAGTAGCAGAAAAAGGCAGATGGGGAACCATAGAAACAGGTGCAGAGAATCAATCACTCAGCACCCACGATGTGCGCAGCACTGTCAGGAAGAACCCAGCCTGGCCCTGTGAGGCTCCTCCCCCTGGACCCAGAATCCGCCTGTGCTGTCCACATTGATCACCTTGGGCTGGTCTAGACCGTCTGTTTCCCGCTGTGCTCCCTGTGGTTCCTCTCTGGTCCCTGGTCAACCAGAAAGGCTCACTGGCTGAGCAGGACGCAACCTGTTTCTCCAGGCCCACCCACCTGTGCCCTCTACCTGAAAATCTCCGAAGCTGCTTTTCAGGCTCTTTCACTTCTGTCACTGAATCCTGTCCATGATGAGTTCTACAGCCGAGCGACAGCCTGGCAAAGCCAAGGGTCTACTTCTTGTTCCAAGCCAGCATCTGTGTTTCCAGGAACTCAGTGAAGAAGGGAGTCCACTGTGCTAGACCCTGAGTCCTTGTCATCATGGCATTGTGAGGCCTCATCTCATTTGAGTACTCTCAGTCAAACACACCCACGAGAGTGAAAGGGGTGACCAGCTGGTCCTCCACTAAAAACATTACGAATGCCCTCCCTGCTGTTCATTAGCTTTTGGTGTTAGAAAGCTTGCCTCCTCTGATTGCTCATCTTTCTCATCCTGGATCTATTTGTGGCAGTCTGCTCAGATCGCCATGAGAGCCACCATAGACCAGGCCACTTAAACACCAGTGGTGTGTTCTCTCTGTCCTGAAGGCTGAGTCTGACCTTGGGGTGCAGCGTGGCCCAGCTCTCGTGAGAGACGAGCTCCTGCAGATGGCTGCGGCTCACTGGATCCTCTGATGGGAAGAGCAGGAGATAGAGGGAAGGAGCCGGAGGAGAGAGAGGCTGTGGGGAAGGTCCCATCTAAAGACCTCGTCTAAACTCACCTCCCAAGGGCCCCCTCCCCCAAACTACCACATTAGGCCTTAGGGCTTCCACCTGTGGATCAGGGGTGGGGACACAAGCCAACCCAGGGCACCTGACAATCATTTCCTGTCTGTGAACAATAATTTAAGCATTCTGACGTGCCTTGGGAAGAAGGGATTGTTGGGAAACAAGGCCAGCCTGGTCATCAGCTTTACCACCAGGCTGCTGCCCTGAGATTTGCTTTGCAGTGCGGTGAGGCTGGAGCCGCTTCCCTGCCAAGCCAAGTGCAGCTCCCAGCTTCCTGGCTCAGCGTTTGAGGCCCCCTGGTCCATAGCGTGTGTGTGGCCTGTGTGTCACTAGCATGGTTGTGGCTGGAGCTCTGCCCGTCCCTGCTGCTTCCTCCCAGCTCCTGTGGGGTGGGCCGTCACCCTAACCCTTCCTGACTTCCTAAGATTCCTGCCTATGGGGTGTGGTGACCACAGTTGTATGGAGCAGGTCATGTTTATGTAGTCTTTGCAGTTGTAAACGTTTGTCATTAACCTTTCTTTTTTTAGGGTTTCTTTTTAGTCTTTATTGTTTTTTGTCCCTGTTTACAATAAATAATGATTGCATTCCTCGTGGACATTGGTATTGATACACAGCAACACATCTTCAGTCTCTTCTTACCCCCTTTCTCTCTCCTCTTTCCATCTCTTGGTTCCCTTTCCCTTTGCAAAAGATTTATCTCCCTGTTTCCTGACATCAGTCTTTTGTTTTGTTTTTATTTATAGTTTGGGGTGCCGGAGAATCTGTTCCACCAACCACAGGCTGTGTTAGTCAACTTTCTGTTACTATAACAAATAACCTGGGCTGATTGACTTACATAGATAAAAGGGTTATTTCTGGCTCATGGTTTCAGTGATTCCAGTTCTTGACTGGTTGGCCCTGACGTTTTCGGCAGTGGATCATGGTGGGAAAAGGTGGTGGAGCAATCCATGCCCTCGATGATCAGTTAGTTGAAAGAGAGAGAGAGGAGGAGAAAGTGGAAAAGAGAAAGGGGGAGAGAAGAAAAGAAAGGGAACAGAGAGGAAAGAGGCAGGGAAGGACTGGGGTGCCACCAGCCCCATCAAAGGTACCCCCTAATGACCTGAAGCTCCCCCATCTCCCAGAGGTTGCACCACAGACAGTGCTACCCTGGGGACCAAGCTTTTAAATGTAGGAGGAACATTCCAGACCCAAACTCATCGCACAACTCTTGGACAGAACTAGAGCCCAGCCCTGCAGCCTCATGTCGACAGTTAGCATGGGCCCTGGAACCAGCGACAGTGGAAATCAAAGCTAAAGCACCGGCTTTCACTGCAAGTAAGAGAAAATGAGAAGAAACGAGTCTGAGAGACTGATGAAGATCTAGCTGATCTCTTCACAAACTAAAGTAAGAGAAAAATTGGGGCCGGACTGCAGCTGGAACAGGAGAGGAGGGGTCACCCACTGAGGAGGAGGACCGCGCTGGCCACCAACAGAAAGAAAGCAGCTTTACGGGGCGCTGGGCCGGGCTCCGGCTGGGTGGTCCTCACACAGGTCAGGCTTCGCAGCTCTGCAGGAGTCCCCGAGGTTCCCAAGATGGAGCCGTCTCCTCTGCCTGTCAGGGCCTCCACGTAAGGTCTTTGAGGCTCTGCTTTCCCTGGAACCCAGAGGGTCACACATTCAGGACAGTGACTGGGGATTTCTAGGCACCGCTCAGAGTGGATTGGAACGGGGCACTGTAAAATCTGGAAAGCTGTAGTCCCTAGAAACCAGGGTAAATTCCTCTTGGTGTTCTCAGTCCCCAATGGGCATGGGTAAACTGAAGGCTAATGCAACACGCCCAGGGGATTACCATACCTGTGTCCAGAGGGTAAGGCGACAAGGGTAAGAAGTGAAAGGACAGCTTTGCTCTGCTCTTAGTTACCTCCTGTAGGCCCCAGTGTAGACTCACAGATTTTAGCAAAGCCACTTTTAAATCCCCAAACTGCTTCAGAAGAAAACATAAATCCTGCTTTTAATACACAATGAATGAAGGGCCAGGAGTGTGTCATCTGTCCCCGTGGGCTCTGTGTCAGCTCCACAACCATGACACTAACACCAGCACAGCACGGTTAGAGATGTAACAGAAGACAGGAAGAGAAGCCTTTCCTTCTAAGAGAAGTCTTTCCTCTGTGTTATGGAAAGTTTCTCCAGGCAAGCTCGGGTCAGCAGTTTAAAGTGCAGTGCTTACCTTGATCACGAATCTCTCTCTCCCCTCTCCTGTCTTCTCTCTCCCCTCTCTCTGTACCTCCCTCTCTCCATAGGGCCCCAGGACAGACACAGAGGACCCGGGTCAGTACTCAGTGTCGGTGATAATATTTGACTGAGGTCCCTGGGAAAACTGGTCCCAACTAAACTAGCTGTAACCCTGTAGGAAATAGCGATGTTACAACCCCAAATCTTCCCACCCTTTTCAAAGTTGTTGAGTTTGAGGCAAGATTTTGCTAAGTTGCTAAAACGCCCAGGTTGAGCTTGAATTTATCGCCTTCCTGCCTCAGCCTCCCAGAATGCTGGGACTCCAGAGGTGTGCCACCACACCCAAGCAAGGGATTGCTTCTCACTTCCTTAGTGGTGTGGGACCTGTTACCATCAGGTCTGTGATGACCAGCCACATCCTGTAGCCCTGCTCCCCCAGCTGTAAAGCCTTTTAGTATTGTGAAGTCTACTGAGATCGTTTGATTTGGTCAGCATGTAAAGGAGAACATGTATGTTTTACTTGGGTAATTTGTAGTCACCAGGTAAAGACAACACAAAGAATATATTTATTTATTCAGTGAGTAGCTTAGCACCTCCCCCCATAAGCAAATTCCCTTTTTGTTTCAAGGTGACATGGGGTCACTCCACATTGGGCAGACCCTGAAGGAGAGGAGGACGTGGGGTACACAGTCATTGAGGAAAGCTGAACTCCCCAAGTGTTACTGGGTAGGGGGTCCCCGGGGCATCTCCCCAGGTCTTTGGAGTTCTGAGTTGATTTCATGCAAATAAGGCCCTGGGACATTGGTCCTATCAAAATCTCACCTGGTGCCATGTCATATATAAACTGTCCTATGGGAAGCGTCCTTTCCCAACAGATGTAAATGAAAGATAGGGAGCATCTTTTGATTGGTTGTGCTCACATGCAAATGAGGGAGGGCAAGTAACTCTTTCCTGATTGGTCCGCAGCGCTGGGCAGTAAGTCCCATGTTTTCCTGGGTCCTATGTTCCTCTGGCGTCCTCGCTTTTTAGAAAACATCTCATTTCACTGTTGGCCTGAGTTTTTAGGACTTTTAACACATTTCATCTAGGTAGTTGCCTCGTCGTCTGCCCCAGCCCTAATCTCAGGAGTGTTGGTGTGTGCAGCTAGGAGAGTGGGCAGTGGGTGGAGAGGACAGAGGGAGTGTCAGAGTGGGGAACACAGAGAACCCCCGAGTTCACCCCAAATCCTCAGGTGGGAAGCTGTGTTGATAAGAAAGCACAGGGGAGCACAAGTTTGCCTAAGGTATGGGAGACAAAAGGAAGAGTCGATGTGGAAGGAAAAGAATAGATGTTTTAGTTTTTCTTTCTTTTGCTGTGTGACTTTTTGGTTGTCACATAATAACTGTATGTACTCATGGGGCACAGGGTGACCTGTCCATTCCTGTATGTTTTGTGCAGTGATCCAACCAGGGTGACCAGCAGCACAGCCATCCTCGTGGTATTTCATTGTCTCTGTACAGTGCATCCATTCTAAATCCTCTCTTCTACCTATTTGAGGTTTATTAGTCACCCAGCTATGCCATGAAACACCAGACTCTAAGAATAAAGGCTTTACGTGTAAAAACAAATGGAATCTGAAGGAAAGTTTCCTTGGTATCCTTGCTAGAGGCTTCTGTCACTTTGCCATGACTGGGGGAGTATGGCCCCTGTTCAGAGTGCTGAAGGTTTTCACTGCCTTCTTTTTATATCATGTAAATTTAAAAGGTTTTGTTTCCTAGGCTAAAGGTCAGTCAGACATGGATTTATTTTTTGAGGTCAGAATCACTTCCAAGAAGCTGGTGGAGGGGGCAGGCCCCTGCCCCCACCCTGGTTCCAGACCCAAGGGATGCCATGTGCACCCCACACGTGGTGCCAGCTAGACCAAGGAGTGCAGACCCCAGAACTATGCACCTGCTGCAGAGGCAGAGAGATGTCCAGAGAGGGGACTGAGCTGGTGCTGCCCAAAGTGTGGTCTGTGCTGTAATTCACGACACTGTGCTCATGATACACAAGAAAAGCACAGCAACCTTTAAAAATGTGAACAAATTGTTATTTAGAAAAACAAAGGGCTGGGGTACTACTCAGCAGTGGAGCACTTGGAGCACTTGCCTGGCAAGCATGATGCCTTGGGTTCAATCCCAGCATCAAGAGAGACACAGAAGGAGGGAAACAGGGAGAGGGAGAGGGGAAGGAAGGAAAGGAAAAAACAAATGAAAGAAAAAGAAGCACTGTAATTTTTTTTTTAAATCCAAGTCATTGAGCAAAATTGGGCCAAGCCTCACCCTTCTTATCATCTTCATGAGCTTGGTCATCCCAGGGTCACACTAATGCATTGGGTGACCTAACTCACCATTTCTGAGAAAGCCCATTCTATTTGGAGTTGCTGCAGGTTAGAAACACTTAGCCAAAGCCTCTTTCCTTTGGTTTAACCCCCCTCCCAAATGTGACCACACAGAGCAACCACCAAAGACTCAAGAATGTGCTCATTCTCACTGTGACCCATCTGGCCCCAGGTGTGAGATGGACTTGACCCTGAACCCCAACCACAGATCAGCAGGCACAGAGACATTATGAGTGGAGAGGGTCAAGCCAGGCTGGCTGGTCTTGCACAGACCCTCCACAGACAGGGCAGCTTTATGCCTGACTCACATAGTTCCCCAGGCAGGGAACAGAGGTAAGGCTTCCATACTCTTCCCAAAGGAGAAAGAGGGGTGACAGAGAAGAGGCCAGGAGATAGAGAAGGAGGCAAACAAGATGGGACATCACCAGGACA